ATCCATCCATCCATCCATCCATCCATCCATCCATCCATCCATCCATGTATCAACCTGTCTTTCTATCCACCTGTCTATCTGTCCATCTCCCTGCCTATCTATCTATCTATCTATCTATCTATCTATCTATCTATCTATCTATCTATCTATCTATCTGCCTATCTGCCTATCTATCTGCCTATCTAACAATACATCCACCCACTCATCCATCCATCTATCTATCTATCTTTCTATCCTTCCTTCCCTCCTTCCATCCTTCCATCCATCCATCCATCCATCTATCCATCTATCCATCCACCCATCTATCCATTTATCCATCCATCCATCCATCCATCCATCCATCCATCCAGCTAGCCATCCATCCATCCATCCATCCAGCTAGCCGTCCATCCATCCATCCATCCATCCATCCATTCATCTATCTAGCTATCCATCCATCCATCCATCTATCCATCCATCCATCCATCCATCCATCCATCCATCCATCCATCCATCCATCTAGCTAGCTATCCATCCATCCATCCATCCATCCATCCATCTATCTAGCCATCCATCCATCCATCCATCCATCCATCCATCCATCCATCCATCCATCTATCTAGCTATCCATCCATCCATCCATCCATCCATCCATCCATCCATCCATCTAGCTAGCTATCCATCCATCCATCTATCTAGCTATCCATCCATCCATCCATCTAGCTAGCTATCCATCCATCCATCCATCCATCCATCCATCTAGCTATCCATCCATCCATCCATCCATCCATCCATCCATCCATCCATCCATCTAGCTAGCTATCCATCCATCCATCTATCCAGGCACTCCAAGGGGCCAGATACTGGTCAAAGAACATTTAATCAACTACCAAACTCACACATTTTGTATTTTCCCTGTTTGTTTGCTTTGTTCTGTTAGAAATGTAATATAATTGACACGACAAATATAAATAAAAACCTGCATAAAATGGACTATCCATCTCTCTCTCTACCGCCCCCATGTGGCCTCCGTCGAGATAACGGAACAGCACCCCTTCTTCTTTCGTCTCTTCCTCCCTCTTTCATTCTTCTCTTCCTTTTGTTCTTTTTTCCTCCTTTCCCTCCCCCTCCCTCCCTCCTTCCTTCCTTCCTTCCTTCTCATTGCACCCTCCCTGCTAAAAGAACTCTCTGTTCCAAGGTTCCGTGTCTTCCTTTGTTCTCCCACCGTTGCTAGGCGAAGCCCCGCCCCCAGCCTCCCTGAGGCCCCGCCCACCTGGACCCATAGGACACGCGTGCCCCATTGCCCCTCTGGGCTGTGTGCTCCTTCCCTCTTTGAGGGGGGGAACTCCCTGCCGTGGTTCCCTCCCCATGGCAGCAGGGGGCGCCTGGATGCTGGCGCTCTTTGTCCTGTGGAACTCCCGTCCACCGGGCACCGCTCGGGCCCAAGACATGGACGAAGGGCAGGTCTCGGCCCCGCCGGAGCTGCTGGCTATGGTGCCAGCTGCCGCGGAGGCCATCGTAGCGGCCGGTTACACCAGCGGGCACCACGAAGGTGCCAACACCACGCCTCCACCTCCGGTGGCCACTGTTGTGGTCAGCAATATCCCAGACGTTAGTGGTGGCAGCAGCAACGTTCCGGTGTTGCCTTCGGCATTGGTGCCGGAGGCTGCGGAGGCCATTGTGGCGGCCGGTTACACCACTGGGCACCAGGAAGATACCAACACCACACCTCCAGTGGACACTGTGGTGGTCAGCAGCGTCCCAGAGGTCAGCGGTGGCGGCAGCAGTGTTCCGGAGCTGCTGGCTATGGTGCCGGCGGCCGCGGAAGCCATCGTGGAGGCTGGTTACACAGGCGGGCACCACGAAGTTGTCAACACTATGCCTCCGCCTCCAGTGGCCACTGTGGTGGTCAGCAACGTCCCAGAGGTCAGCGGTGGCGGCAGCGGTAGTGTCCCGGTGCTGCCTGCGGCCTCCAACACAGCCAAGGAGACTTTCCTGATTGTGGGTGACACCCGCTACGCCTGGCAGGAGTGGAGCCCCTGGCACTGCAACTGCCCGGCCGGGAGCATGTCCCGGGTGCGGGACATCACCTACTCCGCCCCCGGCCTGCGCCTGGACCCCCTCCAGTACAACATCCTGCGCTTCGAGCGGGAGAAATGCACCTACGCCACCTGCGACTGCGACCGGGCCCAGGGCCAGTGCGACCGGAAGCAGGTGCCCTGCGAGTGGGGGGCCACCCACCTCTGCGCCCTGCAGGATATCGAGTACGACCAGCTCCACCGCAAGGAGCGCTTCTGGGCCCTCGTCCACAAGAAGCTCAAGAAGCTCTTGAAGGCCATCAAGGAGGTCGCCGCCAACGATCAGGCAATGGTGCGCACGGGGGGGGGGGGGGCTCTCCATGCC